AGGTAGCACATAGACACCCTCTTTGTTGGAGAGATTATCAACCCAAACAAATGATGATGGGAACATTTTGTGTTGGCTGAAGCACAGCTGCTGCATCACGTATAAAACACATAAAAACTTCAATCTGTGTCTTTCTTCACTTTTATGACTTTTGGGAAGCAAACAAAAACTGTTCAAAAATCGTTTCGAAACATTTGTTTCAATTATTGTTTTTGTAGCAAGACTTGAGTTTATCCGCAGGTATTTTTATTTTTATTTAACAAATACAATACATTTGGAGACGGTTGTGTATTTTGACTCTTCTCCATTTGACTGAGCACCGGAGCATCATCTACATTCCAGACATGTACAGTATGTTTGGTTCCCTCCCTCTGTTACTTTATGTCAGCCGTGCTGCAATGCTGCTGTGGCTGTGGAACAAAGAAGAAATGAACAATTAAGCCACAGTATCAGGATTAATCATTTATAAAGGAACATTGTTTAGAGTGCTTACAGTGAACTGAAGCCCATTAGTATCAGATAATTATTTTGAGTTTCCATTCATCATACCCTTGAAACAAAATGTGCTCTCTCCCTCAGTTTCTCCAGGCTGTTGTGTAGGGTAGCATTTTCCTGCTCCAGAACTTTAATGCGAATGCAATTTGCCTGCATTTGTTGCTCCATGTCCAAAAGCACATTTCCTGTACCTTGAAAAGTTGCAAAGAAAGAATATGCAAGCATTCAACATGACTACAACAGAGGCTGTTGGCAAATAAATGACTGGACACCCAATTGTGGAATCACTTTTGTAAACTATTTGGGTTCAACATCCTGTTCTGTGTATTGAAAGATAGATGATCAGTAAACTAAGATTAAATAAAAGCCTACTCTGTGGTCGGGCTTGCACTTGGAGGCTGAGCTCCGGGAATGCCACCAACAGCTTCTCCCTCTCCAATAGAGCTTGCACATGTTCCTTCAGCTCAGCCACACTCTTCTTTAGCTCGCCCATGTTTGTTTCCATCGTCTCCTTTTCCTTTGGAAGCTCAAAACCCAAGTCCTGTTGGAAAAATATATACAAATGTAAGCATGAGCTGTAGGTTTAAAGGTTTTTATTATGAGTATTGAGGATAGGAGCGCTAACATACCTGCTGTTGTGTGAGCTGAGCCTGCAGTTGCTCTTTCTCCTCTGACATCTGTTGCAGGTCATTGCATAGGGCGCTCTGTCTCTCCTCTTTCTCTCCCAACTGCCTCTGCAGCTCTTCACACTCTTCATCAAGAGCATCCACTCTCTCCAACAAAGACCTCTGCTTTGCCTGCATTGACTGGATGCACACAAAAAAAATTAGACCTGTGTGTTCGAATACTGCTGCACAACTGATCCGTGAGGGACACCGTCAACTTCTCCTAATCTGGTGTTTGTTGTGACACTGACCTCTTGCTGGCGACAAGCGCTGTGGTACTTGGCGTTCTCCTTGTCAAGAAGAACTTGAGTTTCAGAGATGTGACTCTCTAGTTGCTGGATCCTCTTTTGTAGTTTACAACAGACCTCTTCCTCCAAGTGCAAGGACTTCACTTTTTCCTGTAGTGCAATCTTCTCACATTCTGCCACAGAATGAAATGATCCATACAGCAATATCAGTTTATTTTAAGTGCGAAACTAAGACAAGTGTGTTTCATACAATCCTGAAAGATATAAATGCTAGATTGTAAATGATATCCATCTTTACCAAGTGCTTGCAATGCATGTTCCTGCATTGCTACTTTTTCTTTTAGTGTGGAATTTCTCTCTTCCAAGGACAACATCTCTGTTGCGAAAAAACAATATATATAAACATGAGTGTTAACTGTGATTTCAATGTAGCATCATCATATTAATTTGTGAGTTCACTGCACCTCTCTTGTGTTGTTGTTTCTCCACTTGTAACTTTTTCTCTGTTTCTTTCATGGACCTCTGTGCTTTACTCAGTGAAAACTCCAGCTGGACAATTGTTGCCTGGTGTTTCTCAGTCTCCTGCTTGAAGTCTTTCCGTGCTCTCTCCCACTGAGTCCTGAATTTATCCCGCTCTGTCTCTGCTGCTGCTAAACTATCCCTAAGAGGGTGGACAGTAGCCCGCACATCTTGCAGATGTTTTTCCAGCCGGCGCAGGTCCCTGAGCTGCTCATTGGCCAACTGGGCAACATCCCCTGTTGTCATGTGTCCGAGCTCCAGGGTCTCCTCCACAGCAGCCAACAGTGGCTGCAGAGAGGATGGCAGGCCCTCACTCTGAAACAGTTCTACCAAAGCATCTCCTGTCTTTCTCAAGGTGGACTGCACCTGATGACAGGCGTTGCAGGTAGAGAGGGATGATTCCACTGTCTGAGAGCTCACACTGCGGCTGTCCACTTTAGGACAGCATGGGGTGTTGTGGGAAGGACTAAATGCTGAATGGTTCTCGGGCATAAACTTAAAGGAGCTTGATGAAGACCAGGAAGATGAACAATGTCGGCAGCTGTCACTCCTTGAGGTCATCTGGGGGGAAGCACCCGACACCATCTCTGTGTCATCACAGTCAACTCTCTTTGGTGTTGTCTGTTTCTTGATGTCTTTGACAGTGCCCTAAAAGACAGAAGAAGAGTAATGGGATTTATCCATTCTTTGTTAAAATCACCTTCTAATAAATAAAAAAATATTTACCATAAGGCTGGCAAAATCAACTAAATTACTCCAGTAGTTTCTGACCACGAGACCAACTGACAGGCATCTTTTCTGCTGGGTTTGTTCTCTCCTGTGGCTGCACCTCAGCTGCTCAACATAAGAACTGGAGCTTTGTAGAAGTAGCAGTAGTCTTGATCAGGAAGAAAGAAAAATATTAATGTTATTATCATTATTATTGTTATTACTATTGTTCCTAATATTAGTATTTACAGTGGCAGAGAGAGCTCTTTTCTATTTGCCTGTGCTAAGCTCTCTCAGCCACCTTAATTATTGGTATTAGTGAGAGTATTATTAACATGTATTTATTAGCATTATAATTAGCAGTAGTCTTGTTCAGGAAAAAAACTGTATTACTGTTATTATTATTTTATTTATTAAATTAAAAGCTGTGGCTAAGGGGTCAGAGCAGTAATCCTCTAACCAGAAGGTCAGTGGTTCAATCCCAGTCTTCTCTAGTCTGCTTGCCGAAGTGTCTTTGGGCAAGATACTGAACTCAAGATAGAGAAAGAGCTGCACATAGTTGCACTGTATGAATGTGTGTGTGGAACAGGTGAATGTAAAACTGTACTGTAAAGTGCTTTGTGTGGTCGTCACTAGAAAAGCACTTATTAAAAACAGACCATTTACAATATTGATTTTAGAATTAACACTAGTAGTGGAAGAGAAAGAAAAAATAACACTAGTATAATTAGTATTATTTAGAAGCATCATCTTGTCTAGGAAGAACAATATTACAGTAATAATAATAATAACAATGTATTACCTGTCAATCACAAGCTCCAGTAAGACTATGTGGGAGTGCTGGTTGAATTCACTCTCCCCATCCACAAAGTCGTACTGGCCCAGCAGAGCCACCATGTCCAGGTTGCAGGAGAGTTTGTCGGGGAACTTCCAGGAGGGGACGCGGAGCGGTCCAGTTCTGGAGAACACGTCCAGGATGGCTCCCTGAAGATCCACCAGGTCTCCCCGGAGGCTCTCGATACAGTCCTGGCGACCCAGGAACTGGCTCATGTCTGACACCAGCTAACTTCAACCCCACATCCGAGGGGGAGTGGGTGCAGTTTGTTGTCATCGAATCTCCATGGCAACTTCGACGGACTGCGGGTCCCATAATGCTTTGCGGCGTGTTTCCGGAAGCAATACATCGCCATTGGGGTCAATTTACAGCACGACGCAGTACGTGTTCAACCGCAGCAAGTTTAGGATTTAAGCTAATACAGACTTATTCTAAATGTTATATTGTCGTGATACGTTTCTCTAAACTACATGTACTTTTCTCATTGACCTGGTGTTTGCAGGTAACTTTCGGTCTCACAGAAAGACGCAGCCATGCCGCCCGGGCCTGTTCAAATCATTCAGCCGGAGTCCAACAATAAGGTAACGACGAAACCACTCGGTTAGCTCATGTTAGCAATGTAGCTAACATACCGCTTCTGAGGTGAAATTAACGAACAGTAACTAACGCTTTCATTCCCGCAATGAATCTAACACCATATCATTTAACATCAACTGTATCCTACACCGGAGCAGTAAACATGTATTGTCCATCAATTCGTCAAGACGTAAATGATAGCTTGTTGAGCTAGCAACAAGCTAACAAGTGTCAACTTAGCCTTATAGCTCAATACTTATACATATGTTCAGATAGCTTTTGAGACGCAAACCCTCAAATTGTGAATGAGTTGTTTACGGAAAGTACTGAAACCCAATGTTTGGTAAAACTAGGAGGACGGATTTCTTATTGTTATATTTCTTACTTAGGTTAATTCACTGACCTGATTGTAAACAGATCATTTCTCTGTTATAAGTTGACAGCAACTCCCACAGAAGACTTATACAGCAGATTTTAACAGGATATTTAAGTCTTGCATTGTAATTTTACCAACAGAATGATGCACCAGTAGAAGAAACCCCAGCGACCAAACCGATCGTTGGTATCATATATCCACCTCCTGAGGTCCGAAACATAGTTGACAAGACAGCCAGTTTTGTCGCAAGGTTGGTTTCTCCACATGTCAACTGTAAAATATTCTAACAGGATTTTATGTCTATGATTTATGAGCTATTTATTGTCATCTCACAGGAATGGGCCTGAGTTTGAAGCAAGAATCCGACAAAATGAGATCAACAATCCCAAATTTAATTTTCTCAATCCCAATGACCCCTACCATGCTTACTACCGTCACAAGGTCAATGAATTTAAGGAGGGAAAAGCACAGGAACCCTCTGCAGCAGTACCTAAGGTTATGCAGGCCATGCTGCAGTCCCAGCAGCTTCCTCAAAAGGTAAGACATATCATTTCTGTCCGCAGTTACTTTTATTTTATTTTTTCTCCATTTGTCTTAGCTGATAGAATTTCATCACAATGACTTACATTTTGTGTTGGTCAACAGGTTCAGGTGATTCAGGAGGCAGTGGTTCCTAAAGAACCACCTCCTGAGTTTGAGTTCATCGCAGATCCTCCATCAATCTCAGCATTTGACCTGGATGTTGTCAAGCTCACTGCCCAGTTTGTGGCTCGCAATGGCCGCCAGTTTCTTACTCAGCTCATGCAGAAAGAACAGAGGAACTACCAGTTTGACTTTCTGCGGCCACAGCACAGCCTTTTCAACTACTTCACCAAACTGGTTGAACAGTACACTAAGGTGACCTGACAAATTGTGCCTCTCTGATACTGTTGCTACCCATCATTTGTGTGGTGATTCTAAACTGTATCTTTGTTGTCTGTCAACCTTTAGATACTGATCCCTCCTAAAGGCTTACTGATCAAGATGAAGAAAGAGGCTGAGAATCCAAGAGAGGTTATGGACCAGGTAATCCCTTTTTACCTGTCACTGTCTCTTTGAGTAAGAATCTAATAACATGTTACCCATATTAATAAGCTGTTATAATCCTCAACCATCAGGTGAGGTACCGTGTTGAGTGGGCAAAATTCCAGGAGCGTGAGAGAAAGAAAGAGGAGGAGGAAAGGGAGAAAGAACGAGTGGCATATGCCCAAATTGACTGGCATGACTTTGTAGTGGTTGAAACTGTAGATTTTCAGCCCAACGAACAAGGTAATATTACCACAAAGGTCATCACCTTTAAATGTGCAAGCCTCTAATTGTAGCTTTAATAAAATATCTTTATTGTTATCTCTTTTTTTTCTCCCCAGGCCACTTCCCCCCACCCACCACACCAGAGGAGCTTGGTGCCCGCATCCTAATCCAAGAGCGCTACGAGAAGTATGGAGAGAGTGAGGAGGTGGAGATGGAGGTTGAGAGTGAGGATGATGACGATGAACGGGAGGCTCGGGACAGTGGCCAGCCCTCACAACCCGATCAAGACACACAAGTACAGGATATGGATGAGGTGAGAACTAATGAAGATGTTGCAGTAATTGGTGGATGTAAATTATTAGGAATTTTTATAACTTGTATTTACTGATGCTTTGCTTGAAAGTATATAACACAATGAAAATGCTGGAAACAACATATCACAATTCTCCTCCTGGTTTCTTCAGGGATCTGATGACGATGATGATGGCATGAAGGCTCCACTGCCACCAGACAACCCTATGCCACCCCCGCTGCCCCCAACTCCAGATCAGGTCATCATTCGCAAAGACTATGACCCGAAAGGTAAGTTGTCCTTCCTTACATAAGTTAACATCATCAGAATAACAGGCTATTTACAATGTGTGCTCATCCAATGGTATCTTTTCCTCCCAGCTTCCAAGCCTCAGCCCTCAATTGCAGCTCCTGATGCGTACCTCATCTCACCAATTACTGGTGAGAAGATCCCAGCCAGTAAGATGCAAGAGCACATGCGTATTGGTCTGCTGGATCCGCGCTGGCTGGAGCAAAGAGACCGCATTATCAAAGAGAGGCAGATTGAGGATGAAGTCTATGCTCCTGGTCTGGACATCGAGAGCAGCTTGAAACAGTTGGCCGAGAGGCGTACCGACATCTTCGGTGTGGAAGAGACGGCCATCGGTAAAAAGATTGGTGAAGAAGAAATCCAGAAGCCAGAAGAGAAGGTGAGAACAGTAATTTTTTCAAGATGAATGTAGTTGAGTTAGTACAGTTGTGATAATGGTTTGTTTTCATAATTGTTTTGTGTTTTGGTGTCCGTAACATCTTTGCTTTCCCTCCCCCACCAGGTTACCTGGGATGGCCACTCAGGAAGCATGGCTCGTACCCAGCAAGCAGCACAGGCCAACATCACCCTACAGGAGCAGATCGAAGCCATTCACAAGGCTAAAGGACTAGTGGGAGAGGACGATACCAAGGAGAAAATTGGCCCAAGCAAGCCGAGTGACATTCATCACCAGCCTTCCATCCCCTCGTCTGCAGCCAATCTACAGAAGCCCGGTCCTCCTATCACCATAGTGCCACGCCCACCCTCCTCTGTGTGTTACTATCTTTAGAAAAAATATTTTATTCTTTGTTGATTTTTCTTATACAAACATACTTATATTCCACTAATGTATTTTTTTAACAGATGGCCCCTCCAGTGCGCACCACCCTCCTGTCTGCTGTACCTGTTATTCCAAGACCACCTATGGCTCCTGTGGTGCGCCTTACACCTGGACAGGTCTTAGCACCAATGCCTCCCATGATTTCTGCTCCCCGCATCAATATGGTCCCCATGCCCCCATCAGCACAGCACATCATGGCCCCAAGACCACCCCCAATGGTTGTTCCAACTGGTAAGTTGAAGATTTTCTTGACACCTGTCATTGGCATTTAAAATAAATATGCACCATGACATTAATACTTTAATTTTGATGTAGGCCCCCTTATTTAACATTTTTAAATTCCTCTTCTTCCAGCGTTTGTCCCAGCTCCTCCAGTACCACAACCACCCAGCTCTGCTCCTGCTCCACCTTCCCACCCACCCCCACCTCATGAGGACGAACCAATCAGCAAAAAGATGAAGACTGAGGACAACCTTATTCCAGAGGAGGAGTTCCTTCGCAGAAATAAGGTTTGATTAGAGCAATGTTCCAGCCTATATATTTGTGATGACTTATAATTTATTTTTTCACTTTCATCAGTATACCAACCTCTTTAGTTAGTGAAGCTTTGGCTGTAATAAATAAGGTCAAACTGTCGATTGGGTTTGTCATATCTTTCTGAACTAGATTGTTTTTCCTCTCAGGGTCCTGTGGCAGTTAAAGTACAAGTCCCCAACATGCAGGACAAGACTGAATGGAAGCTAAACGGCCAAGTGCTGAATTTCACTGTCCCGCTCACAGACCAGGTATGTAAATGTTGACTGATTATCTCTCTCTTTTTATGTCAGTGCACATACTGCATTATTACAAATGTGTGAATGCAATGTCTCTGCAGGTGTCTGTTATTAAAGTCAAAATCCATGAAGCGACAGGCATGGCCGCAGGAAAACAGAAGTTACAATACGAGGTAAACTTACTTTTTGACCTTATTTGAACTTGTGATGCCCTATCTGCATAGGATTTCATTATCTTAAGAAGTAAACAAACAATAATGTGTATTTTTTTGTTCACTTTCAGGGCATTTTCATCAAGGATTCCAACTCTCTAGCTTATTACAACATGAACAACGGCTCCATCATTCACTTGGCACTGAAAGAGAGAGGAGGCAGAAAGAAGTGAGCCACGCAGCAAGCAGAAGATTTTACTAATCGATGTTTTTTCACCCTGTCCAGTCATTTTTGTTGAATGGAAGTTGTATCAGAATACTACACCCCTCATACTCATCTGTAGGGAGAGCACATTGTCCTTATATTTTATCTCTGAATGCTAAAAGTTATACACTGCCTTGCAGGTATGACCTCATACTGTTAGTTAAACTTTGATTTGTTCATGAGGATATAAATTTGGTGACTGTTGAGTCATATTGTAACCCATTTAAATAAAGGAATCGAAAAATACTGTTCTGCTTTTGGTGTTTCATGATGTTTTATATTAAAAAATGTATCAACTAATACAGGACACATGCTCTGATGGCCAGTACCAATTATACTAAAGCCCAGGGATAGCAGGAGAAAACTAGTGTAGAATAAATAGGTGATTCATTAGAAATGTGAATTGTTGAGACACGGTGCAAGTTGCTTTGCTTTTTTTACGAGACATTGAAGGTAATTCCCATGACGACCACAAGGGCTGGATATAACATGAAGTCGCTGGAACAGCCCAGGACGACACTGGGTCTGTGACTCGTCCAGGAGCGGCAGACAGGCGTGATGACAGGACAACGAGCCGCCGCTGAGCGAGTTACAAACTTGCTAACCTGCTAACACAGGTCATTAATGGCTAACTGTGACAAACAAGTGAGTAACCTAGCATGAGTTTGATGAAGGTAGAGCCAGTGCAGGGATCTTTTGGGAGTTTAGGCTAACTATTCAGTGGCTAGCTAATGTAAAATCCGTTAAAGCAATCGCGTCAGCGTTGCTAGCTAATGCTAAACCTGTTTAAAGTTGTCTGACAGCTGTGTCGTGACGTTCGGCAACATTTACTGAGAAAATAGTTGTAAAAGTCAAGTCAAGAAATCATGACGTCGATGCTATTTGATCCGACAACATATGCGGAGGAGCACTTTTGACTTAGGGCTGTCAACAAGCTCGCTGGCGTTAGCTATCCTGGCTAGCCAGCAGCTAGCACTCCTGCTACCATGGCCAAAATAGAAAACGGCCGACAGTCGGTGGACACTACGAGCATCCGGACCATCAGCAGCAGCCACATAGACGACGAGAGCTCGCTGGGATCCGACTCGGAGATCAACGGCTTCACCAGCGACAGGCAGACCGATAAATATGGATTCATTGGCGGGGCGCAGCAGCACTCACAGGCGTCGTAAGTTTCCTTTAACTTTTGTGATTTACACCCATTGATTTCAACTGTGCAGTCGGGGCCAACTTGAATGTAGGTGGCGATCCAGTAATCCAGTGGAGATCAGGGGTTGAACCTGGTAGTTATGAAGACGTATTAGAAGTTGTGTTGTTGTCTTGGTGCTTGTGTACAACAGAGATCCTGGCCAGCTGCGTGGCACTGTGTGTTTTTACATATGCCCACTGTTGGTCTGTCAACATGGCTCATATGAAAACATGAGCTGGATTCATAATAACACGGAGCATCATTCTTCCTCATTCTCTCTTATATGTGTTGTTTTCTTGTGTAGATCGTATTTATCACACAACGTTTTTGTGGAGCTTTTCTTTTTCATTTGAATGGATTCATTCATATCCTTGAGGCATGTTGCAGTCTTTTTTCCTCTTCTAAGAAGGCCTCCCTTTCTTCCCTTTTCAGTGGGAGACTAAAGCCTACATTACAGAGCTAAAATAGTGGTGGGAGTGAGAGAAAGTTGTGCCAAGCTCTGGCTGTCTGTCTGGGAGCCCGCTGTTTTTTGGAGTTTTTGGCAGACTTGGAGCCACAGCTCTGGTGCCCTGTTACTCCAGGGCCTCTTTTGGCTCTCAGTGTTATAGGTAGTCACAAACCCAGAGTTTAACTCTTAGTATTTAGCAGTGAAGGTAACTCATCCCGGTTAAGAGTCACTAGAAGCCGGAGTGAGAGTTTAACATCTCATTGCACTGATCCACAAACATATAGAAATTTTTTCTTCATAGAAAGGAGGAGGGCTTTCTGAAGTTTAAACACTCTTTGAAGACAATTGAAGCCTACAATTACAGCCTTGTGCTGATGAGATGATTACATAGCTTCATAAAGCATCAGCCCTCATTCATAGTGCAGGTTATACTTGCCCACATTTTCTTTTCCTGCTGGAGAATACAATGTGAAGTCCTTACTTGTTCTTGGCTGTAAATGATTTGCAGTTAAATTACATCACAAGGCGGACAGACCCTGACTGCAGCTCTTTGAGGTTGAACACACTTTGCCATTTAACGGGTTACATATGAGTTTTTGTCTTTTATAGTCTCTTCAAAGCTAGTCTAGCAGTTGTTATGTTCGAAGGAGTGTACAGTTTACTGACTGCGCATGAGTGATGGCCACACACAGATTTCCTTTCTGAGGATGTTGTCTCTCTTGTGTTTGTTACAAACACTCAACCTACAAGAGCCACCATCTTATTATTTTGAGGTTTATTCCCAACTGACCTTATTAAAAAAATACAAGTTTCTTTTACCTGGCAGTGCTTACTTCCCAAATAGGAAAGTTCCTTAGGTTGCATATTGTTTTAAAGAATTCAAAATGTGATTCTCTTCTCTGTTGTGTCTCCAGAGCTCAGGATGTGCCTCCAGAGGTGCTCAGGCAAAGGGAGGTGAAGTGGCTGGACATGCTCAACCATTGGGACAAGTGGATGATCAAGAGATTTGACAAGGTCAGCACCAAGTGTTAACTCATTAACACAAACTGTCAGGTGGCTTGTTTTGATTGTCCAAATCTGAATAGGTTTTATAAATCTAGTGTCTGATCTCTGCCACCATTTTCACATTCCACGCAGCTGTTTTTTTTAATCCTGCAGGGTTTTGTACACAGCAGGATCAGGCTAGGTAAATTACATTGCCTAAGCATTGGATTGCACAACGATAATAATTTTGCAGACACATTGTTTGCAGCTTCACTTGTCTAGCTGGTTCTCAGCTGAAACGCTCTTAGCGATTCAGCTCAAAGATGCAGCCTCAACTCTTTTCCATGAATCAGCAGCAGGGCAGGACACGACCCATCCCTTTATCTCCCTGTGTACCGTGTGACAGATTGACTGTCTCAAATTCAGGGTGGGGCTGTATAGACTTCCTGAAGCTGCTGTAATAAAGTTCTTGTGAGTTTATACTATAGCTGTGCAAGTCAACTCCTCAGACTGAAAATCCCAAAGTTGTTTCCACTTCTCTGTTTTGCCGATATGCTCAAAAAGTCTTGCACTGAAGGTCAGAGTTTCTAATCCCTTATTGTGTGTGTATTTGTTTTGTTTTACACAAACTTTACAGGAGAAATTGAACTCTCCTTGGGGAAGTGTGCCAGCTTCATATCAGAAAAGCAAACAAGATTGACCATATTTCAGTGTAATCAATCTGTTGCATAAACAGTAGCTTGTGACTATGTATAACAGATTATAGTTGTGTCTCTGCTTGGACACATCACATATGTTTTTGCTTTATGTTTTTTTAGTTGATGTTAAGTGGATATATCTCTGTGCACTATTAATGCATACAGGATGTTTTGGGTTCATTCAGGACACTATAATTCTGTTTCATTTAGACTTTTTACGTACTGACAGAAATCTAAAGCAAATGTCTTGTGCACAATAACGTGGTGCACAATAACTTTGAAGTAGTTGTTACTGAATATGACACAAATTTGCTTTGAGCTGTTTTGAGCAGATAGCTACATTTTGAATGAATTCAAGAAGAAAAACCAGCACCATGTCATACATACTAGTTATCACAGCAACTTTTTTGTCTGTGACAAGTCTATGTCACACTTGTTCCCTTTGTATGTTGCTTTATTTTATGAACCTTTTTGCCTCTGTGGCTCAGGTGAGGCTGCGGTGCCAGAAAGGAATCCCTCCTTCCCTCCGAGGCCGTGCATGGCTCTACCTGTCTGGGGGGAAGGTGAAGAAAGAGCAGAACCAAGGGAAGTTTCAGGTCAGAGAGCTTCTTCTTTCATTTCCTCCTTACAGCTCTATTTTGTACCCTTGTTTAATGTTACATTTCATTTGAATTTGTTACTGAAACAGTGACTGTCCTCCATAGTTACTTCCTCTGTTGAGATCCCAGATTAGATTTTTGTGCACAGCACTGGAGTTTTTTTTAATAGCTAATAATAAAACATTTTAACTTTGTAGGATAATTAAATGGAGTTATTTTTATGCTAGAAGTTATCCTGTGATCACTGATTCTTATGGAATAACTACTTTCTGAATTGTAGTTTGAAGGGCCACAGTGCTTTTACTGTGTAATAAAGTCTCCTCCATGTGTTTGGCCAGGAGCTGGATAGCCAGCCAGGGGATCCCAAATGGATTGATGTGATTGAGAAAGATCTCCATCGACAGTTTCCTTTTCATGAGATGTTTGTGTCACGGGGAGGACACGGGTAAGTTGTGAGACGTGATGGTTGATTTGTTTGGCATTTCATTTGTCTTAATTTGTCTTATCTGTATGTTGATTCTTCACAGACAGCAGGATCTGTTTCGTGTTCTTAAGGCCTACACTCTCTACAGGCCAGAGGAGGGATACTGCCAGGCTCAGGCTCCCATAGCCGCTGTGTTGCTCATGCACATGCCTGCTGAGGTACTGTATACTTTCACTCCACCACAGACACCATATAAAGTATCTCCTTTGGTGTAAACATTCTGTCTCCATACTGCGCATTACTGGGGAATGATTAGTTGCCTGTGTTAAAAACTAAGATCTGAAGGTTTGTTATATTTTGCTCTTTAAACTAGAAATCACATGAATACAGCTAACTTTTATTTGTGATCTTGAAGAAGTCTATTTTTAAACTGAACAGCGGTAGACGGTAGAGATGATGTCATCAGGAGATAAATCCTGGAGCGGCTCCAAAGACTGAATAATGGATCAGCAGCCACAGTGGCTTGACAGCTGTTTATGTAAATGTTCTGATTCGCAGTGATAAGCTGTGTATTCAAATAAAACTAGCTTCAGTATCGCTGTCACTCCACAAACCCACATAATGAATCACTCATTGTTTGATGCTGTATTGTATATTCCAATAGATTTGGGACAAATTGCACTTAATCTTTTATACTGCACGTGTATAAAAAGCCTACATTTTATTCTATACTGCTATTGGGTATAGAATTTACACTGTTGCCCACAGAATTGATCTATGACTGTAATTGGGATGCAGATGCACGCACACGATGGTCACTGACGGGTGTTACAGAGACTAAAGAGTGAAAGACAAGATCTCATGAGATAGAAAGAACTGCAACTGAAACTGTGAGGTCTAACTTTCAGTAAGGACGGTAACATTGTCATGGACCATGGTGGGAGCATGTGGTAGCTAGCAGTAGTACGACAAATTCTGCTGCACGAAGTTAGAGTCTAATATATTAATGTCTAATAATATTATCTAATAATATGATTTTATTTTATTAATTTTATTTCTTCCCTTATATTTTGCGTTGCTACTCTTGTGCTGCTGTGTCAAATTTGAATTTTCTCTACGTCAGAAAGTTTTATTATGGGACTAAAACTTTCTGGAGTTACGTGACATCATCTGTGTTTGTCTCCACAGGATGCCTTCTGGGGGCTGGTCCAAATTTGTGAGAAGTATCTTCCTGGCTACTACAGCCCTGGCCTGGTGAGAATGAAATACAAACAAGCATTAAGATGAGCTCACCATGAGAAAATATGACTTCATGTGACACTGCTGTTACAAGAGCTTTAATCCACACTGACTTGCTGAGCTGACTTGCTCGAACTGGAATGCAGTTTTGTTATTGCAGACGTAGGAATTCTGTGGTTATAAGCTACTGATAAAACCAGGGAGGCGTTGTCAGACCATAATTTTACTTTGAGTTACTTATTTGCCCAGCTACATGAATGAACTATGTCGTGTAATTACTTTTGTTGTGTGGTTACTGTCTAGTATGCCTCCGCGCTGGATGATCTGATATAATTCTTTTTAAGTGGAATCAAGAATTCTGGAATGAAAGTAAAGCATGAAGCTACAAAAGATGTTAGGAAATCTGGGTTGTCATGCAGTGAGTGTGAAATGATTTACAAGTAGAGCAACATGCATTAGTACTTTTTTTTTAATGGACTAACATCCACGTGTGTATCAAGTTTCTGACCTAACAATGCAAAGTACAAAAGTTTTTGTTTCCTCTTTCAATGCTTTCCTACCTGTGTCTCTTCCAGGAAGCTATACAGTTAGATGGAGAGATCCTGTTCGCTTTGCTGCGACGTGTCTCCCCACTGGCCTTCCGCCATCTGGAAAAACACAAGATTGACCCCATCCTCTACATGACTGAGTGGTTTATGTGTGCCTTCTCCAGAACGCTGCCTTGGGCTTCTGTGCTGCGTGTCTGGGACATGTTCCTCTGTGATGGTAAACAATAACTTGGAGTGCTACACCTTCAGTGATACACTTTCCGTGTTGTAGACAAGCATTACTTCAGGACTTCTTCACACTGAATCTCACCTGGCTCTATCTCCTTTTCTCAGGAGTGAAGATAATCTTCCGTGTGGGTTTGGTGCTGCTTAAGTGCATGCTGGGGACCCGGGAGAAGCTGAAGGCCTGTCAGGGCCAGTATGAGACCATGGAGCTTCTCAGGGCCATCGAGCCTCGATACATGCAGGAGGGTTACCTGGTCCGAGAGGTAAGAGCAAAAGAGCAGCAACATGTCACCACAGAAACAATCCTTTAACAAGAATCCATGTGTTTCAAGGCTTTTGAGGCAAGCTTGCACCCTGCTTAATTGTGACTGAAATTCTCCATCAGTTACAGGCATTATTAGTAAAATAAAATGGTTTATATCACACAAGGGCTGGGTCATATAAAAATATGGCTACCTATATCTAGAGATGCTCAGACGCTGAGCCAGTCTAACAACCTGTGAATGGGAAGCAACCGATCCATTTCATCAATCTTCACGATTGTTTTTTGTTGGCTCTCATACACAGAGTATCTTCATGTAGTTATGCCTCTGGTGATGTTCAGAGGCCCCTTTCTCTGGGCTTCACAACACCCATAGATTGTATAGGCAACAGCTTGCTGAGAACATGGAGGGAGGGAGGAGTTACGGCTGATGAAGCTGATGCTAGTACTACTGTGACGTCAAGTAACAGTGAATATTGTTTATATAACCCTAAACTGCTTTTTCACATGTTTAAGTTGTAATATGTTAAGTATATTTTTCATTCAGATTTTAGATGGATATTTATAAACAGGCTAAATCTACCTTAAGGAGAGAATATGGATTATGTGCTTTGTGTTGTTGTTGCTAAAAGTTGTATTACACTGGCAAAATCCTTTAATGGTGTAGTGTGAGGTTGAGGTTGTGTCATTGGGGATGGAATAAACAGAGAACACAGAGTGTCCACAAATGTAGCCAAGGGAACAGCAGAGTCTGAGGGAGTGATTTAAAGTGGCACAGAGACAAATTGACTAGAGTGCTGGCTGGACAGTGTCTGGTTCCTGTATGTGAGTCTTGTGTGAGTGTCTGTCCATGTTAACAATACCCCCTCTTATACATGAGGCTGTCTCGACAGTGAGTGTTGGTGTATCCACAGCGGCCCCATGGCCCTTTGGCATTTACTGACAAAGTTCACATTTTAGCACAATGGTCAAACATGGAAGGAACATATTTTCCAGCAAGGGCTGCTCTTGTTGCTTCACATTTCCCTGACTATGATCTGCTGTATATGACTCCAGCTGTGACCTGGTGACGTGTTTCTTCCTGTTGCAGATTCTGGAGGTGCCAGTGACCGCACGAGACGTGGAAAGAGAGCATCACACCCAGCTGAAGCGCTGGAGGAAGAACCGCGGAGAGCTTAACTTCAAACCGCCTCCCAGGATGCATGGCGCACGGCTCGTCATGTTGGCAGAGCCGCCCAGGCGCCAGGACCTGCAGCAGAACCCCACCATTGTACTGGAAGTGCCTCAGCCCACCCCGCAGCTGAAGAAAGGCAAGGAAGAGAAGAAGAGCAAGAAGAAGAGGAGCATGAAGAAATCCCCACCCATTATGGAGATCCCCAACCCTTACCCTCTTTCAACCGACCCTGCGCCTCCACCTCCACCCACCGAGCCACCTGCCCCACCTCCGGGGGTGGAGACAGCCGAGGCTGTGCCACAAACTGAAACAAACTCAACTCACCAGCAGCAAGCGTCTCCTACAGACCTCCCTCCTGCCAAAGAATCTCTTCTTCAGCGATCCACACAAAGCCTTAGTAGCACAGACCAGGACACATACCTGTAGCTCCATGTCTGTCATAGTGTGTGTGTGTGAATGAAACACCAGCACTCATCAGCCAACAACCAGCTGGCTTTGTCAGGGTCTCTGACTACCCAGCATCACTATCACAATTTTTCTAGTGTTAGACTGTTTTTTATTCATTCTTTCATTGCAGAAACCGTTATGCCTTTGATATTATTGCTGTTACATAAACAGAGTTGCTAAATGTAAAACTGCTTTGATGCCATTTCTCCACATGAAGCTGTTGTTATCTCCTGTTAATTTTCTTCAGATCTAAATGTCCTGTTTACAAGGGAGACATGTTACTGTGTTTTTGGGAGCAAAGTCATTTCCTCAGAAAGGTGTGGTTTCATTTCAAATTCAAATTAACACAATAATTAATTTCAACTTCAGTAGTCATAGACTGTGTATAAATTTGGACGTGAAATCTCCACTTCCTTTTGTAACTGTCTAACTACTTTAGCCATTGTATTTCATGAGGGCCTTTGTACACTAGAGGGCAGTGTTGAAAAGGTTTCTTCTTACCTGTCAGTAGAACTCATCACAGCAGGGATGGGCTTCCTTTTAGGATTCACTCAGTTTGGGAGATATGAGATTGATGTTGAATTTTTTTCTTTTCCATTAGGGAAAGAATTTCCCAACTTACATTTCATGTTTTATATATTTTCAATTTTCAGCTGAAAATGATCATCTTCAATTCATGACTTCTCCCTACATTGAGTTCGTGCAAGTCTTCTTTTACAAAGCACAATTATTTAAAGAACAGTGTAAACATTAAGTTGTGCTCTCATGTTTTTCAGTCTGTTAAATAGACACAGTTAATCTCTGTATATCAGTGTGCCAGGCACATCTAGCCACTTTAAATCTACAGTAATTCATGTTGCCTGGGCAGCACAGAGGAGAACACATTCCTCATAGTGTCACACGTCTGCCTTGTTAAAAGCCAATCGTCTAAAAACTTGCCAAATTTAAATCTGTGTAGTGTATGTGTCTGTGTGTTTCCTGTCACAGCCGGGGCAGTGTTGGTGCAGATTTGTTCTGACCATTCAGTTGACATAGCTCAACTATCCATTTTTGGGCCAAGCAGATCTTCATGTTTATTGGGTTTATTTCTTTTTTTAATATATTATTGCTAGAATTTCCAAAGCAAATGAAGATCTCCGACCGCTTCTTGTGACCAGACTTATTCCATTAGCACAGACGAGAGATCATTTGGAGATTTCAAGATTTACTGGGGTCTTTGTAGCATTTCTTGCATGACAGCCTGACTAATTTCTTTGGGAAATGGGGAGAAACGCAGGGGTTGTTAGGCTCTTTTGTTTTGTTACTTTCATCACAATGAGAAATGAGAAAGGGAGATCTGAGAAGCACAAGTACATATGTGGGATGTGTCTGTGTGTATACTTAATAAATAAAATTCTACTTTAAAAAATGCATGTATAGGTCAGTTATAAACAAACCAATGTGGTTTAAAAGAATAACACATGTTCAAGCAGTCACTTGTCTATATGCAATAGTTTTTAGTTGCTTGTATTTCTCACTTTACATATGTTCTATTTTAATTTAATGCTTTTCTGTAGATATGACATGTAAAATAATTTGTTTTGTAATGAAATCTATTTTTCAACATTTGATGCCATATTTTAAGAGAAACTCTAAATCAATTGCAGTCTCAGACAATATATTTTACATCTTTATTTGTAACACTAGAGGGGAAAATGTTTGTTCATTTGAAATAAAGGGGGGACTCCTGCCTCTGAAAAGACCTTTCCAGAATTTTATCCTTGACATTGGGGTGATAAAAGACGTTTGACAACCATGATGCAGTCCGCATCATCGTGAGTTTAACTTTTACAAATAAAGTTTTATTTAAAGCAAACTTGCAGCATTTCCATTGTGTTTTGCATTTCTTTATTGTATTTGCAGTAGCATAATGTTGTCTGCGTTTTTAAATGCTATGTCTCATGTTGTCCAACAGATGGTGCACCAGAGTCATCACTTTGAAGAGAAACAGTGGTTCCCAACGTGGACGTCAGAAGAAAAGGTAAAAGGTTCCCAATGTTTTCATTTCCATTTTTTAATGCATACTTTTAATAATGTGCTGAATTCATTACAATTACTTTCATTATATTTTGCAATACAATTAATAATTATGCCTCTTTAATATAACATAACTGCTCCTCCTATCAGTAAGTGTGTGTATGTGTGTGTGTGTGTGTACCAGCAGCTAACCAGCATGTCCAGGCCTAGTGTGTCACTGTAATGTCCAATCTGAACATACTGCATATTATAACCTCTTGCAAAGGACCATCACCATGAGCCGACCCTGGAAGGAAACCACATTAGGTGGCAGAGAAAACTTTGATTATAAAATCTCAGATACCACTGTATAGTAGCCTAAGTTTAGTACAATGTTGAATTCTCAATCATCAATATAATTCTGCAATGTATATTATTTTATATCAAATCTATCATCTCAGTTCATACTCTATGGTACAGTGTCTTATTAAATGGGAGTCCGTGGTCTGTGTAGGTGTGAATCCATTCATGACACATTTGACCTTTCTCCTCTGAGGCTTTTCTTATCAACTTGATCAGAGAGGAAAAAAAGGACAATTCCTGCTGCCTCTCCTCGTTTAGACTAATGACAGTTAACTACTATGTTCTTAATTTGCTGTTTGACCTGCCCGTGCCTCTTTTCTCCACCTTGAGGCGTGGGGGCCATTTGAAGTTGTTGCCACAGGCTTTAAAGAGTTCATCGTAAATTGCTACCTTGATGACCTCAGTAAGCCCGCTAACTCGTTTCCAATCGTCCAGCAAGGCGTGAGCTGCAGCTGTTGACCTCTGGCCATCAGTGGCTCAGAGTTGTGATCAAATGAGATGGCATCAAGTTGCAGGTGATGTGGAAACAGTCATTTGCCTCAAAATAACTACATTTATTCATTGTACATTGTCATTGGGATGCAAGGTGCATGTAGACATGATTCATACAGTATCGTCTTGTAAAGGGAGTACCTGTCAATAGCCATTAATCATACTTACCCATGATGTCATTCCACCCAGGCCATTATGGACCATTACGGGATCTGTTGATGTTTGCCCACATGAGGCACAGCAACAGTTAATGCTCTAGGTCCCTGAGGAATGCATGCACCGTCACGCTTTCCCTCTTTGCATCGGACACCTGGCCCTCTTTCAGTGCCACCGTTCCATTTACATCTCAAAGGGCCACGACCAAGAAGGCTCCCTCTGTGCTCCCTTCCTAACTCCAGAAATGATCTGATTTATCTCTTCATCAACGGAAATATACGCCTTTAGAGGGCCATCCCGCCTCTCTCTCTCGTCCCCAGCTAGCAGAGGCGGGAGAGCGAGCGGTAAAAGGGGAGACTTGTGATCCTCCGTGTGATCCCGGACCCAACGGACCCCTGTCACAGTGCTTGATTCATGTGATACGGGCGACTCTCTTTCTGCTCCCAGGCTCAATGTGTTGAGGCAAAGCAAAGGCGCCTGTGTTCCTGAGGTATCCGATTCCCACGTTTGATGGAGCATGACAGGTTGGCTCAGGTCAAATTAAAAGGCAGGAGTAACAAATATGAGGGCAGACATTGTGATCGTCTGTGCAGGTGAACTCTCCGTGGCAGCGGGAAAAAAGGATATTTATTGCACTGAGGGAAAACATTAGTCTTTGTGTGGGAGACATTAAGAGGGGGATCCCTGTGAGAGGGTCAGAATGGATAATTGAATCACCTGAGTGTTGTTCTTTCTCTTCGGACCCACTTCTCGCCAAAGGAGAATCTGTCACTATTATTGGTCTTGGTCTTCCTTTCCATACGCAGACCTTTAAACTGGATTGTCTATACCAGCCCTTTATTTTTGCAGCAAGTACAGTTCGATGGAAACATAACAGCTCTATTTCCAGACATAGCTTTGTAAATATCCTCCATCTTCTGGCTCCTGGGAGATATTTCTGACCACCATAAACACAGACGACTGTTAAATTACGTTACTAAACCCTGCTAATGTTTTAAATCTGGACCCGTGCCTATATCGCTCAGCTACTCCATCATGGGTATAACAAGGCTCTGTGTATCTTGGAAAATGGAGTCTTGGCACCTATGTTGTTTCCATTGTATAATTCCTGCCTCCATTCATGGTCTTACACATGACTACATATAAGGCAAATACTTAGCAGGTACATTTAACATAGAATAACACCCCAAAATTTCTCCTGGGTGCATTTAGCAAAGTACTTTAAATGTCATCACTCTTCTCATTCGGGCTACTCCCGGTGGACGGGCCGGCCTGCCTGAAGGACGACATGAAAATTATCACGGGTCAGGGAGGGGGAGCTCAACCACATGTTTATCTTAAAAAAAACACAAAAAAACCAAGACCTTCCTTGCTCAAGGTTTAGTCTGGACCCTCAATGCAGCACCCTGCAACAATAACACACAGTACATTTAGTTCATTGCTCTTAATTTTTCTGTTAATTCTAATTTTCCTTTTTTTGTTTTTGTGCAAGAAATCAGTGAAGCACAACACAAAGCAAACTGATTATTAATACAGTAGAGGATGACCGTCCATTACCATAAAGTGAGATAAAATAAAACTATGGACACTATAGGGATTTATATTAATCGCATACATAAACATACATTTATTTTAGGCTTGGCTTGAGATGAAAGTTTTGCCATGTCTCAATTACACCCCCCTAACTAATTTCAGTGTGTTCATATGTTGAAATCTTAATTATTGGCTCAAAAGCTTTAAACCAAATGAACAGTTATTACCACTCGGCACAAACTGAGAGGGGTTCACTTTAAAATGACCAATTTATACAGAAGATATTTCTTTATAGTACATCTCACAAGAAAATGATGACATAATGAAATGAAATATACTTTTTATTTATGGAAATAAAAGATAACGATTCTTTGAAACCACTCTTCCTTAAAGGTTCAGTGTGTAGAATTTAGTGAGATCTAGAAGTGAAGTATCATGTTGCAGCGGAACACCCCTCACCCTCCACTTTCAAACATGAAAGAGAACCTGTGGTAGCCTTCAACAACAAGTCATACAATTTTGATGAAACACACTATTGAAAATATCATGAGGATAATTTTATTCAATTTCTGCCAATGGATCCCTTTCACCTAAATCTTACACATGGAATCTTTAAGCTAAAAGAAATAAAAGATACCCTTCCCCCTACCCTGACACCCCCCTCCCACCCCCGACTATGTTTCATACAGTCCTTTAAGCAGATGTTTAAAAAATATTAAAAACCCGCAGCCAGTTTCAGGTTTTAGGGGTTCACTCAAAACAACAAGTCAGTCTGTGTCGAGTGAGATTCCAACATGCGGGTGAATGGTAAAAAGGTAAGTGAGGCATAGTAATTGAGTCTGCTAATCACCTGCATGCTGCTTCGCCTACAGGACATTTCAGCTCTGAACGATGGGCGTGTGGGGGTTACATGGGGGTAAGTGCTGCACACCTGTGTGGCTGTCATGTTCCTTGGGGACTTTTGGGCTTTTCATTTAATCGCGCACCCCCCTACCCCCTGCACCCATCCTCCTGACCTCTGGACCTCCTACATCCCCTGGCTCAGTGGAGCCAGAGGCGTGCACAATTATGGCTGTGAAATCACGTCAAGCAAATGGAGCTTAAGCTGCAGCCACATTTCACCTGAGATCTGTTGACTTGAGTCCGTCTTCTTTTCCCCGCTGCAGGCAATTAAAGCTTTCACTATGTTTTTTAACGTCTTGTGCTGTGACGGAGCGATTCTTCAGATTTGTTTGACACAACTGGAGGTTTCTTGGTCACAATTCACAGTGCTGCCCACAGATGCAGTGTATGAATGTGTGTGTGAATGGGTGAGTGGTGAAAAACTGTACTGTAAAGCGCTGTATAAATACAGGTCTTTTACCTCTATCCCCTCTCACTTCTCTCTGCTGCGTGGCCCCTGTCCTCTGCTTTTTTGGGGGGTGGCACTGATAATCAGTAATTAACAGAGCCAGGTAGAGAATAAGCTGTTAAATGGCTCTCTCTACGGGTGTTTGTTTACATGTGTGTGCGCCTGCCGAGGCTCCTGGCCAGTTGGGTGATGAGTTACAGACACAGATGGTGGGCATCAGCAGGCTGGCTGGGGGCAGATTAGCAGCCTCCCATGTCTGAGCAGCCCCCGTCCCAGCCCCGCTCCCACTCCCACTGAGCCCCAGAGGAGGGCCTGTCTGTCTGTAACTCTACTCACTTTGGCAAACCTCATGTGTTGATGGAGGCCGACCATGGGCTTATCTCGTCTCATTCCACCACCAGCGGCCCTAGCAGGCTCGGGGCTCCAGGAGAGGAGGGGTGGGGGTGTCTGGTGGGGATGTCTGTGTGAAAACAGCCTTGTTTTGAGAAGGTAATGCTGTTGCCCTTTAGTGGCACAGATTTTGCAATCAGGAGTAACATTACACCACTGAATGGAGCCTTATCTGTACATATTTGTACTTTCATAGCACGCCATCTGGGTTTTGAACCTTTTTCTCTTCATTATCACATAAATTATAAACTGTAACCCTGATGTGCTCGTGTGTGTGAATGGCGACTGCCACATGTGCCACCTCCATGGGGATCTGTTGGTAATCCCCTCTTCCGCTGCAAGAAAAATGCCTACAGTGCAGATTTTGCCAGTGTGCCATATTCACATTGCACTGGACAGGAAGTGCAGTTCAAACGGCCCAGGTCAAAGGTCAGCCAGATGCAATGAAGAGGGGGCAGGAGTGGGGGGGACTGGGCAGCCCGTCGGTTAGCGTTCAGGGGCCTGTTTATTTTATAAACAGTGGGAGCAGATTAGAGCCAGTCTCCCTCAGCCATATGGGGAGGATGTCCTCTGTG